GCCCACCCGCCATTACAGATGTACTTGGATAAAGGGCCGTGACACCAAGCTGACGATGGAGGAAGATCCGCAGTCGGGAACCAGACCTCAGAAAGGTGCGTTTAAGACTGTATTATCCACACGTTTCTCTGGGAGTTGTCATTCCGTTCAATAACAATATTTTGCCTATACTCTAACATTCATTATGTTCTAAACCAATTAAAATATAAAAGCCTCGTAATGTTTGATTGGCACTGCATGAATGTATATTACTTAAGTATTGCAGGAGATAATTCTAAATCAATTAGTTATTTCTACTTCAAAAATAAAATCTTTATACATCGCACATTTATTATTTAATTGTTAAAGAATTCATATTCTGTAGTTATGTTTATCTTTATTAGTTATTCGATGTCTTGTTAATGAGTTGGGATTTTTAATTGACTGCAAACTTCAGCAAAAGGCCTATGTTTTTAACAGGTGAATGATGGTTAAAATAATCATGTTAGGAAGTGCATGCAAGTAAAAATAAATTAGAAATAGTTATCAAAATTACCAACATTAGTTCATGTAATAGAAGTCGTACCAGCAAATGGGCGAAGAAATGTTATTTAAAAAATATAAAATGTGTGATGTATATCCAGTCTTAATTGTAATGAAATGGGAATTTGGTTATCAATGTAAGTAATCATTGTCTGTCTTTATTTTAAATTCTTTACAAGAAAACGCTTTTCTGTTCACTATCAAATTGTTTCACACAATCAGCTTAAAATATACTTTTTATATCACTGAATGTATCTTTCGGCAAAAATGAAATTATTTTTTAAAATTATTATATCATTCGTGTCGCTTTCGATGCAAACCGAAACTTATAAAATGACATTATGTTCTATGCTTGATATGTTGTTGTTTTTGTAAGTTTGCTTATGACCGTATTTGATTATACTTATATTCATAACTGTTCTGTTGTAAGGTAACAAGAATTGTGTTTTTGGTTAAGCAGTGCCACTAGGCTTATGTGATTACAGTATACACAGTTTTATCATATTAACTTTCTGTAAGGAAAAATAAAAAGTATCTGAATATGAAACTTGTATCTTATTTAATTAGATACCGTTCCGTAAAACTTTGACTTTAATTTAATTTTATTTAATTTCTTCATTGCAAAATAATTAACGAAATAACGTGTTTTGGAAATACATTGCCGTCTTATATCAGGGCATTCCTCTATTCATTATTTTGTGTGTGTTCCAAAGTTTATCATTATATTTTGATGAATAGGATTATCTCTTGAAATATAGATTTTTATTTTTTTATTCATTTATCTAACAAATACGGAAATATATATATCTATAATTCACTTCATCAACACTTCCGTACCATATAGGTATCCCTTTAATTGTTGTGATATTGATATCCCTAATTAAATAAGAAGAGTTCAAACACTTTTGTGTCTTTTTTCACAATTAGAATAAAATTATTGAAAATACGGAGTGAGCAAATTATCTGGAATTCTGTTCCAGACTTACCTGAAATGGAATATTAATTTTGGAAAAAAAATCTTCAAATAAAATTATGTTAAAATGTCAGTTGAGTTTAATAGAATTACTACAAACTGATTATTTTTCTGTTTTGTCTGAAAATAATAATAATTCCGAAACTGTTAATTTACAATTATTTCGTCCTTTGTAGACACGATACACCATAATATTGTTGCGTCCCGTGCGGATGGCTCTTTAATAACTGCTGTAGACTGTTATATGTTTTATTACTTAAGGCCGCTTCTCTATGCAATTTGTTCATGTACTTGTGTATAATAAGTCAGCTTTATAACAACCTTGTGTTATTTTGCTTATGCAATTATAATAATTCACACCACAGACATAGACATATGCTGTATCATATATGCATTATTTAAATATGCCTACTTTGAATAATGCTTGATAATCAGACACTAACAGACAGGATGCGATCACAAACAAATGCTTATTAATAAAGCACTTAAAATTAATAATCCTATGCAAGGCTCATTTGCTGGTGCCACTTAAGCAACTTTCAGCTTTTATGGGACTCAGAAAAACGGACTGACGGACATCAGACGACACATTTTGGACTCCGCGGTAAATTAAATACCTTCATGAAATTATAAGTAAAACAAGAGCCATGTCAACATGGCCATCCCCCGCCGAATGTGTTTGCTCATTGGAAGAATGTATATGTAGTAGAGCAGAATAAGAGGTCTTTTGGTAATGAAAACTGATGGCTATAGTGATTACAGATTTGAAACCTATGTGAATACTGATGGCTGAAAATAACAAAGGGCAATAACTGAAAAATAATGCAGGGTAGGTTATCATTCTTGTTTGCTGCATCCCTCCTCAGTAAAATCTATCCACCTATGAAGTTTCAAGTTGATACCTCAAATACTTTTTGAGAAAAAAATTGAATTGAAAAATTGAGTATGAAAAATAACAAAGGGCAATAACTCAAAAATTATAAAAGGTAGAGTTATCATTCTTGTGCAGTGCACACCTCCTGAGTGAGATATATGCACCTATGAAGTTTCATTTTGATATCTCAAAGGCTTTTTGAGTTATGCTCTGGACAAAAATTAATTTTGAAAAATAACAAAGGGCAATAACTCAAAAATAATGCAGGGTAGAGTTATCATTCTTAAGCACTGCACTCCTCCTCAATGAGATCCATCCACCTTTGAAGTTTCAAGTTGATACCTCAAATACTTTTTGAGATAAGCTCTGGACAAAATAGCATGAAAAAAACAAAGGGCAATAACTCAAAAATTGTATAGGGAAGAGTTATTATTCTTGCGCACAACAATCCTCCTCAATAAGATCTATCCACCTATGACATTTCATGTTGATATCTCAAACACTTTTTGAGTTATGCTCCACTCAGGTGAAAAATTAGGTATGAAAAATAACAAAGGGCAATAACTCAAAAATTATGAAAGGTAGAGTTATCATTCTTGTGCACTGCACACCTCCGTAGTAAGATCTATGCACCTATGAAGTTTCATGTTAATATCTCATAGGCTTTGGAGTTATGCTCTGGACAAAAATCAATTTTGAAAAATAACAAAGGGCAATAACTCAAAAATCATGCAAGGTAGAGTTATCATTCTTGTGCACTGCACTCCTCCTCAATGAGGTCTATCCACCTATGAAGTTTCAAGTTGATAACTCAAATACTTTTATAGATATGCTCCGGGCAAAAATGTCGGACGGAAGGACGGACTGAAGCTCGGACGGACGGACGGAGACTATTTCTATATCCTCCGCCGAAAATTTTCGGCGGGGGATACTAAACAAATAACGCAAGAATGTTCAAGTTTAACTATTTAAGTTTATTTATGTAAGTCCTTAACAATCAGTCTTGCGCATTTGTAAAATCCGACAACAATATTAATATGAAATATCTCGAATTTCAATATATACGATCGTGCTTACAAAATTAACATTAAGATATGACTAAGATCGGGGCTGGCGCTTGTGTTATTAACAATAAATAAACAGTTATAGAGATATTAATACTTAAACTTTAAAATGGAAAATGTTAAACAAAATATAATTAATTTAACTCTCTTTTAATATAGATACTAATTCACCTAGGAAATATACGCAAATTACTATTGCAAAACTTTTCCGGCATGAATATTGACTTAAAATTCTGGCAACAAAGTGATCCCTCGGAAACATTAATCACAACAAAATTACAAGAGAACTGCAGACTCGTTTGATTGAGTCTGTTCACGAGGGATAATGAATAAATGCAACATCTATCACGCCCCCTTGTACCGGCTTGAGCGGTACTCAATTCTCAACACTTAATAGTGCTGGCATCAATGATCCCGAAGTTTTATTTCTGACAATAGTTCTAGATCTAATGTAAAAATAAAATAATTTTAAATTCTTGTTAAAGCTTCTACTTTTGTAGATCTACTGAAAAAATAAAATAAAATTACTTTTCAATGTAAAATAATATTTTACTCTAATGAATACTGAGGTTCTCAGTTGCGGAGTCCTCGCTGCTAACAAAAATCTGCCTTTTATAAACGTATTGCTAACAGTTTGCTAACGATTTGCTAACAATATTTGAAACTTGTGAGTTTATAACAAAATGCTAACAAAGGGGCACCGAAAGGATTGCTAACAGTGCTAACAGATAATAAAGTACGAGTTAAAATCACACAAAGCGCCATCAATTAAATTGACAGATCTAATATAAAAAACAATAAAAATACACAATAACAAGGGATTGGTAAATTTGATGCAAAAAAAAACAAACAAATTATTATTTTCGTATGCATAATCTAACGCTCCTATAGGTAACCTCACTTGATAAATCGAAATAATACATGACGTAGTAATTACATGACGTCATCAAATAGTGCATTACCAACATGGCTGACGATAAACACTTCCGGGTTTTAGTAAACAGTAAAATTGCCGATATTTGCTTAGGGGTAAGCTTTCAAAATAAATTTACATTGACAATCAATAGTATTTAATATTTTTACAACATATAAACCGTATATAACAGAAAATAAATATACATAGGTTAACTAGAAGGTAAATAAGGTCGATGAAATGCGGTGCATCACATTACCCCCCTCTTAACGAGTCAAAGTTCAATCTGCCTCACAAAATATAACAATCATGAATTATAAACAGTTTAGAAAACCAAACTTGTACTTAATTTTCAAATACATGTAGTTAATCAAAATTAACTTATTGACATAATGTTAAAACTGACCTGAGTTTCCCTTTAATTCTTATAAATAACAGTGTTCCTTTAACTTCTAAATTTTAATTCCACTATAAAAATTAAGTGTCTCTTTAGAAACTACCTGAATGTCATTACGGTTGCATTTATTGTATTAAACCTTTCATATATAAATCAATTACTATTAAACAAATACACTCTAGTCTAAGACATACGAAATATACTACAGTTTATACACTTTATACTTATGTCTATGTCATCAGAACAATTAACTTGGTTTACAGTCTAATATAGTCTCTTCCTCTCTCGACCCTCCTATAGCCATCCCTCGAACTTCCACCACTCTTCCTCTGTCGCTCACGTTCCGCTGGTCTTTCTCGCTTCTCGTCTTTCTTAACATCTCTATCTCTCTCTTTTCTCTCATGCGCTTTTGCTGGTCCTGATTCACCTCGCACTTCTCGTACTTCCGGTCTCTTATTCTCTTTACTTCTATCTTCATTCTTTCCCTTTCTTTCTCTAAGTTCACTTCTCATCTCCTTTACTTCTTTCCTCAGGTCATCCACCGATTTCTGTAAAGATTTTATCAAACCCGCATTAGCTATCACTTGTTCTCCCACGATACTTCCGGTTTTTCTGATCATTTCTGACAGGATATTTGTAAATCTAATCTCTCGATTACTGTTATCTTCTTCGTCAGATGAGGATGTTTCATCAGACGACGATGATGACTCTGACTCTCTATACCTTTTCAAACTTTGTCTAACTCTCTTCCTCGCTCTGCTGTCTCCGTCTGTATTTCTCTTCGTTTCTCTTTCTCCTCCCCGTTCTACCTCTTCCTCTTCCATAATAATCTCCGCTTTGATGACTCTACTCTGTGTCTGTAAACTTACTTCTTTCTCCAACACATTTCTTCCATCCTCCTTCGCCATCTCTTGAACAAGTCTCTCAGTTGATTCATCCACTTCTTCCCTTGCCTGTTCCTCCACACCAACTACACAGCCTAAGCTATCGTGATTATCTGCGCCTTTCTCTTCTTCCTCTTCTCCTGTGTTTTCCCCCTGTGAAACTTCCATCTTGTCATTCTCCTGCTTACCTTCTTTTTTGCCTCCACTTTTCTTGATAGTTAAGTCTAACGCCATTGCCCCTATCTCCAACCCGTCACTCCTACTCTCCGTTACACTTGCGCACCTTACGACCCTTCTATTCTCATCTGTCCGTACGACTCTCAAATCTAACGCGGCACTTGTTATATCCTAACCATTCACTTCCTCCAACTCTGTTAACTTCTTCGAACTGGCCTTCACTACTGCTCTTCTCAAGTCAATTGGTCCATCTATATCTACTCCTTTCTCTACTTCCATCATTCTTCCATTACTATTATCTTCTTCCTTTTCGCCCATCTCTTCTGTTCTTTTTTCACCTGTTCCACCCTCCTCAGCTAATGCTGCTCCTTCGCTCTCACCACAGTCTTCCTCTACCACGTTCTCAATATACTTGGATGCCATATATATTTCCGGCAATTCCATTTGTAGGGCCTTATCAAACACGTTTGATGACCCTGGGCTAATAGTCTTCTTGTCCCACCACCTACTGCTCTCTTCCTTGGTTAACATTTTCCAGTCTTTTTCTCCTACCAGATAAGGTTTGTCATTGCACACAAGAAAAGGTTCGGAGGCTTCAAAGCCCTTTTCCTTCATTATGGCCTGGTGCCTAACAAAAGTTCTTACATGGCTGAACAAGCTGACCTTTGTCTTGCTCCTAAAATGGCAGACTCTACAGAAGAAAGGCTGATCATCATTTGGCACGTGCTGTTTGTAGATGTACTCCTCTAATCGACTCTTCGAGTTGATATCTTCTCTACCTTTCCTTAAACAATGCAAACACTGGTATGCTTCTTCCCCTTGGATAGGTTTTCCGTTCCATATCTGAAAAATAATTGATGATTTTAGGATCACCATGCATCTGTTGCATAACGCCAGTCCCATTTCGCGATAGAATGTTAGTTCCTATGTTATAAACGAGCGCCATCTCTGTATCACGATTCATAGGTTCTTCGGTGCTGTATTACGACGACGTCTTTACAGCAAAACCCTTTTTTGCAAAATGCCGACACATGACACACGACCACACGACGTATACTTCGTGTTTTAATATGTACTAATTAGACCTACAACCCCTAGACCCTGGAATACTCGCTCTTATACATAAATTTTTTTCTTGCAGTATACCTGAGGAACACCTGGTTAAGTAGATTTAACTGATATTACTGTAAAAGGGAAATAACTTGAAACTGAAATAAAAAATATAACAACAGACAATTTTGTAAAAATACTTTAATGAGTAATTACATTTTCATTTTCTTTTTCAGCGCCTTGATTCATCTGGGTACATTCGTACCTACAGATGGTTTTTGTTTATCGTGATGGACCAGCTTTCTAGAACCACTTCTTTCCAACTGTAACACATAATTCTATGGCGACTTTTTTTCTATCACCACAAACGGACCATCATATTTCTTTTCTAGCTTTGGTGCAACACCAGGCTTCTTAGTTTCATGAAGGTACCACAGTAGATCCCCTGGATTGTAGATGTTTAAATGACCTTTCACATCATAGTAAGCTTTGCTGTGTTCAGCAGATACCTTCAAATATTTCCTCGCTCGCAAACAACATGCAGTTTCTTAAAAGCTCAACGTAATCACCAGGATTGCTGGCTTGAGTATGTGGGGGACGTCCGTAGATAATGTCTAAAGATAACCTGATTTCGCGACCAATACTAAGTAAGTTTGGGGAAAGGTTTGTCGATTCGTGCGCAGTGGCTCGATAGGCCCCTGCAAGGCAACCTAGGTAAAGGTCCCAGTCATCTTGCTCTTCAGCTAGATAAGTTTTTATCATCTTGACAATCGTAGCATTAAATCGCTCTGTGACCCCATTGGATCGCGGGTTGCGAGGACTTGCACGAGTTTTCCGAACATCAAGCATAATGCATAATTCTTTAAACAATTTGCTTTCAAATGCTGCACCTTGGTCACTGTGTATGCTCAGAGGTGCTCCCCATCTTGAAACAAAATCGTTGACGATTCTAAGCGTGCATTCATCAGCTTGCTGGTTAGGCACCGCCATGACCTCTACATACTTCGTGAAGTGATCCGTCAGGACAAGTATATACTTATTCCCACGTTTTGAAATTGGGAAAGGACCAAGATAATCTATCCCTTATGTATCCCAAGGCGCACCGCTACACAAGTGTCCCATAGGAGCTCTTGGTTTTTTAGCCGGAGCTTTGTCGGCAGCGCACGTGTCACACTGAGCAGCGTAAAGTTGAACATCGTGTTTAAAATTAAACCAATAAAATCTTTGCATTATCTTTTCTTTTGTTTTCTTAACACCTAGATTCCCAGATAACTTTGCGTCATGCATTTGTTGCATAAGTTCTTTCTTCAAACAGTTTGGAACCAGAAGCTGACGAAACTCGCCTGAACCGTTCTGCTTTTGAAATTTCTTGATCAAGATTCCATCTTCGATGAAAATACAATCCCATAATATCCATAGGTGCCTACTTGCGGCAAATGCCGTCTCCATATCTAAGCTGCTAGGTTTGTTTCCTTCAGTTTTTGCTTTATAGATAGGGCCCAGGTCAGGATCATTTGATTGTTTAGCCGCAAGCTCTTCAGGCCTGATAGTAAACAGCCAGGTACCCTGCTGGTGAGCACGCCGGTCAAAATCAGATGAACAAGGCTGTTGTCCGTCTTCGGCAACATCAACTCTGGTCTTTTCGTCTGCGTCGGTGATGATATTGGAGATCGTACCTTGTGGAGTATCCTTTACAGTCACGCTCTAAATTATCTACTTCCGGGCACTCGCAGTCTTTCGGATTCTGGCATCTAGAAAGTGCGTCACAATGACCTTGTTTTGACCTTGCTCTGTATTCAACAACAAATTCGAATGGCGCAAGAATTTCCAACCACCTTTCAACTTTTCCATTCGGCTCCTTCAGACTGAATAGCCACACCAGGGCTTGATGATCTGTACGAACCACAAATTTTCTTCCTAACAAATACTGCCGGAAGTCCTGAATAAAATACACAACTGCTAGCAGTTCCTTCTCGGTAATGTAGTAATTTCTTTCAGCTTTATTCAAAGCCCTACTGGCGTAGGCAATTACTCGCTCTCGACTTTCTTGCATCTGGTGCAGAACGATCCAATACCGACACCACTTGCGTCGACATCTAATATGAACTCTCCGCCATCATTCAAAGGATATCCCATAATTTCCGGTCCTGTCAAAGCTGCTTTCAGCTTGTTAAAAGCTTCCTCACACCTATTGTCCCAGCTAAATGCAACTCCTTTTTTAGTAAGATCAACCATATTTCTAAATTCAAAATTTTACTATTTCACGTTTAAATGTTGAATTCTGCTTAAGCGGGTGCTAGGGGGCGTGGACGGTAACTTGCACTTTCCAGTACCGTCCATGAACAGGCTCAATCAAACCGAGCCTGCAACATTTTCAATTTTGCCGTGTTGGGCTTTCTTTAGGGATTCTGTATTCATCTATTTTACTACAGTTGCAAATCATTTAACAAACTTTCTATAGTAACTTCCGGTTGCCACAAATTGTTTAACCTGCTTGGGATTTTCCTGTCTTGGCCACTGCAATATTTTGGCTATATTGTTTGGGTCAGGTCTAACTCCATCCTTGGAAACTATATGACCCAAAAACGTTACCTTGGTCTGAAGTAAAATGCATTTGTTTGGTTTTAATTTCAACCCAGCCTTCTTTACTCTATGTAATACCTAATCTACTCTAGCAATATGTTCTTCGAAACCTGACCCGTATACAATTACGTCATCAATATAAATAAGGCAAGTGACCCAATTCAACCCTCGGAGGGCAATCTCCATACAACGCTGGAACGTACTTGCTGACCCATTAAGACCAAACGGCATTCTTTTCATTTGAAACTGCCCGTATTTGCACACAAAAGAGCTCTAATGGATGTCCTCTCTTCTAAGTGGTATCTGAAAATAACCACTTGTCAAATCAAATGAACTGAATATACTTGAGCCTGCCACATCATCAAGGCAGTCTTGCACTCTTGGGAGAGGAAACCCACTCGGCTTCACCAATTCATTGACCTTTCTGTAGTCCACACAAGGCCTCATTTCTCCAGATTTCTTTCTCACTAAGACAATTGGACTGGCCCAGGGAAAACTACTTTCTTCAATAACATCTTTCTTTAAAAGATCCTCTATTGCCTGCTTCTCCTCATTAGCATGGGCTAAAGGTTCACATCTCGGCCGCTGCCTGATTGGTGCTGCTTCCCCGGTATCAATAGTATGTTCAACTAGGTCAGTTAAGTCCCACTCATTCTTCGAAAATGAATCTTTATAATTCAGAAGCATACTGCCTATTATATCTTTTCATGTTGCGATTTTCCTTTTGTGGACTTTTCAAATAGCTCTTGTAAATGCTGTGGAATTTTGTCAATACTGGCCTTCCATCATTTTTCTAGGTCAATGTTTCTTTCTATGGTATTCAGGCAAATTCTACGGACAGAGTTAAAGTTCTACCTGTCCAGACTCTCCTCCTCAGCTATTATACTTTCAGCTTTTATGCGACTCAGAAAAACGGACTGACGGACATCAGACGACACATTTTGGACTCCGCAGTAAATTAAATACCTTCATGAAATTATAAGTAAAATAAACAAATAACGCAAGAATGTTCAAGTTTAACTATTTAAGTTTATTTATGTAAGTCCTTAACAATCAACCTTGCGCATTTGTAAAATCCGACAACAATATTAATATGAAATATCTCGAATTTCAATATATACGATCGTGCTTACAAAATTAACATTAAGATATGACTAGATCGGGGCTGGCGCTTGTGTTATAAACAATAAATAAACAGTTATAGAGATATTAATACTTAAACTTTAAAATGGATAATGTTAAACAAAATATAATTAATTTAACTCTCTTTTAATATAGATACTAATTCACCTAAGAAAATATACGCAAATTACTATTGCAAATTTTTTCCGGCATAGAATATTGACTTAAGTTTCATTTCTGACAATAGTTCTAGATCTAATGTAAAAATAAAATAATTATTAAATTCTTGTTAAAGCTTCTTT